TTCCTTTCCTTTCCTTTCCCCTTCCCCTTTCCCCTTCCCCCTTCCCTTTCCCCTTCCCTTTCCCCTTCCCCCTTTCCTTTTCCTTTCCTTTTCAGTACTGGGAATTGAACTCAGGGCCTTGCACTTGCCAGGCAGGCGCTGTGACGCTGAGCTACATCCCCAGCCCAAAACAGTTTTTCTAGTACTTGGTGTATGCTCCTTGTACTGTTCCACATTTTACTTTTCTCCATCCTGAATTTGTTAGGTTGAAGCAGAGACCAACTATCATTCTCTGTAGTATTTCCCTTACTACCATATAGAAAGAGAACATAAGTATTTGTAAATCAAGATAAGGAGGTACATTTTATTAATATTTCCTGTTTACTAGGGAAAAACCAGATTAACATCAGATTTTATTTATGAAATATTTTAGTAAGTTCAATAAATAAATTATTTCTAATAAAGCACAACCTTATTAGAATATTTTGTGTGGGAGACAGAAAACTTAAACTATTAAACAGGCATTTTCATTTTGTGGTTGTATTCCAGGCTGTATCTTTGCAAAATGGTGTAAGTTTTTGATTCTTCATTTGTCACGCGACTTTGATGTGTATGTTGTGCACAGTGTTCTGTGAAGAACTCTGGTTCCTGTCTGAATCCTGTGGGATTGCAGCCAGCCGGGGTGTGTTCAGGGTCGCAGTTCCAGCCTCAAGCTGTTCCTAGAACCGTGCTTTGCAGTCTGCCTGCGTCTGCACTTGCGCCCCCTGGTGGCCATTCTGTCTACAGCTCCGTTCCGAGTCGGAGGGGAGCCCAGCCCTTCATAGTCTCAGAACTGTTTCCTGAGTGCTTCCCTTCCCACTGCACCTGCATCCCGGGCCCAGCAGTGAGAGGGCTGGGAAGGGTGGGAAGCGTTTCTCCACGGCGGGGACTGAGGCTCCTGCTGGAAAAGGGGCTGAGGCTCCTGCAGACCCCCTGTTTTTGCCGCTGCTACAGTACTACTTACGTAGAAGAGGAGCAGGAAAACTGGTGGTCATCTTGGTTTCAGGTTCTCAGCAGCCCTTGAGGAAGAGCTGCAGGATTCTCCTGGCTCTCTGCTGGCCGGCGACCTTGCTGGGGGGGAGTGCAGGCCAGGAGACCCCAGAGGAAATAAGTGGCAGGCCCCCCCGGCCACGTAGACGTGGCTGCCTGGGTCTCTTCCCCAGTCTGCTTGCTGCTGTTCACTCTCCAGAGCCTCAGATAGCTGCCCATGCGCTTTGTCCAGGGCACAGGGTACTTGCGTTGTCCTACCTGAATGGCGCCTCGGGATCCCTCTTAGTTTCCTTTTTTGTCACTCCCCATCTAATGTGTTAGAGTGTTCCTGTGGCTCATGGTGCTGCTTTTGCCCTCACTGCAGCTGCTGTGGCCTTGGTGGTGGTGGTCTGGGAGGTGGCCCTGATGCCTCCTGGCCTTTCCTCCTATGCTCTTATCTAACATGGTTTATATTTTACTTCATTCTTTCTCCCCAGCTGGACTGTAAGCACCACGAGGGAAGTCTGTGCTGATGACTGCTCCATCTCCAGTGCTAGGGGGAGCGTCAGACCACATGGAGTCAGACCACAGTTACTTGCTGAGTGAATCAGTGAGCAATTATCAGTCAACAAAGTGACCAAAAGTGCTGATGCAGCTGTTTGTTTCAGGCAAAAGTAGACTCTACTGCAATAACATTTCATGGAAGTTGTTAATCAGGGTCATCCAGGGAAACAGAACCTTGAGATTATTATTACTAGAATTGGCTCCCAAGATTATGGAGACCAGGAAGTGTCACAGTGAGGTGGATACAAGCCAAGGAGCCAGGACAGCCAGGGGTGTAGTTGAGCTGTAGTTTGAAGGCCTGAGAACTTGGGGCCGGGAGGTGCTGGGGTAGGTCCTAGAGCCTGAAGGCCAAGGAAACAGGTGCCCCGGTATCTGAGGGCAGAAGATGGGTGTCCCAGCTAAAGAACTGAAAGAGATAATTTCACCCTTGCTTTTACTCTGGATTGGTCCTTGTGTTATTCAGCGTTCCCATCACTGAGATACAGTAACTAACACACATAGCTTAAAGGAGGTGAGATTGAATTTAGCTCATGGTATGGGCGATTTAGTACATGGTCAGCTGGTGCCAAGGCGAACCATCGTGGTGGAAGGGTGTGGCAGAGCAACGTTTATGGTGAATGGGAAGCAGAGCAGGGGAACAGCTCCATAGAAGAGGATGCAGTGACCATAAGTACCCAAAGCCATGCCTTCGTGACCCACCCAGAGATGTGCTTTACCAATCCCCAGGTTGACACAGTTAAGTTTAATGACCACAGCCCTCAAGTGTATAGTGTCTTCTCACCCAAACTGGTGAGGGTCTATCTTTAGTCTATTGGTTCAAATGCTAATCTCTTCTGGAAACAGCCTCACAAGACAGAGCTAAGGCATCTGTTACCCCAGTCAAGTTGACATATGAAATTAGCCATCTTATTCTCAAATTTTAAGAATCAGTATCATTGAACCTGTTCTCTGACAGTGCACTTAAATTTGTTATTGATAAAACCATATAATTGACAGCATGTTGCATGTTATATCAATCTGTAATGAATATTATGAAAAGCTTCTCCTTTTCCCTGTAATTTTTTTTTTTTTTTTTTTTTTTTGGTGGTATTGGGGATTGATCCCAGAGCCTTCACACTGAGCTACATCACTAGGCCTTTTTTATTTTGAGATCAGGTATTAGTAAGTTATTAAGTTTTTAAGTTGCCCAGCCTGGACTCAAACTTGTGATCTTCCTGCCTCAGTCTCTTAGAGTGTGGGG